CACTCAGGTCTACCCAGGGCTACTGCTTCAGCCTTGGCTCAGGTGCCGTCTCGTGGAGAGCTACCCGCTCCTCGTCTGTTGCGCAGTCCAGCTGTGAGGCCGAGATCTACGCTGGTGCCATGGCCGCACAGGAGCTCCGCTGGCTGACCTTTTTGCTCACTGACTTAGGTGAGCGGCCTAGCTCTGCCCTGGTCCTGTTCGCTGACAACAGGGCCATGATCCTCCTGTGTCAGGAGCCTCGACTCGAGGGTAGAGCGAATCACATTCAGCTGCGGTACTTCCTCCTGCGTGAGCTACAGCAGCGACGTCAGGCTCGCGTAGTACACTTGGCCTCAGGTGCCAACACGGTTGATATCTTTACGAAGGCGCTTGCGCCTAAAGATCATCAGCGGCACTGTGTACCAGGGCTAATTTTTCGTTTTTGAAGACCCGGAGGAAACAGGATTCGCGCTCCTGAGGACCTTGAAAAATCAGGATTCCTTGAGAAAATCCCCTTTTTTTCAGGATGACGCCGAAGTTCAAATCTGAAATCCAGAATGTCTTTACGGATCGCCCTGCACATCAGAACAAGTTTTGGGCAACCCGAATTGTCACATACTTGAGGGACTTTGGAGTATCGAATCCGGAGAGGAAAGAGCAAGTGAGTCCAACTAACAGACCAAACTGAAACATCCACACGCAGCAGTTGAAACAATCATGACATGACACACTTGCCGCCCGCTACTCCACCAACACCATACCACCACACCAAGCCTCATTCGACACTTCACTCTAGCTAGCCTGCAAACTACAGAAAGTCCTGGCGAAAGAAATGCCTACGTACGAACGTTCAAGAAAAGTGTAGCCTAACAGAGGGATCGTAGGGGGGCTAAGAGGGAGGAAGGAACAAATTGCCGTGCTAGAGCTTCAAGAATCAGATGCCGCAAGTATTTTTACGCCGCCTTAAATCTCAGCCATCGTTTGAAGTCCCAGCTGTCCCATTGAAACCATCAAGAGCGGGCCTCCTCCTGCGCTGTGACATGAAAACAGCATGCACCTCCATCCAGTCCACATCGAAATCAAGCATCTTCACAGCCATAAGGTCCCCCAGGCGCACGTCAGAAAGACAAGTGCGATCCCAACTCTTGATTATGTTTTGCCTAGAAAACCCCCGCTCACACTCGACGGTGCTTAGTGGGAACACGGCGACAGCGCGCCATAGCTTCATGATGTTCGGGTAGTACGCGCCCCAGTCCTCGTTGGCGAGCATATTGGCCAGGCTTTGCTGGAAACTCTGCAGTGAAGAAGCGGATCTCGATCCTTGCCTCTTGCAAATCGAATCCTGCAAAACTCAACCTTCAACGTTTCAGCATTGCAAGTTGTGAAACAACATGTCAGCCACAAATGCATTATTAACTTATTACTAACCAGGGAGGCAGCCATGAAACAAGTCCGCTAGCTGCTGCAGCCAAACGTCGAATGAAGTCTCTCGCTCTCCTGCCCTCGACAGGTACTCACGAGGGCGGAAAAAGCGTGCCCCATCAAGGTTGCGAAGGTCACCAAGGCGGCGGTTGAGAGCTGCAATGAGCCGTCTCGCATACTCAGCACAAAGCTTCTCGCATGAAGCTTGATCGGTGCCATAGGTGCCGCCAATTGAGCGCTCATGCAGGATGATGGTGCGGGTCGTGGGCGAACCATCTTCAGCAAAGCCCTCAATCACCATCTCGCGACACTCTGCAGGACCGTGCTTGGAGAGGAAAGGGGACAGCCGAGGGCTAACACCAGCGCCAAACTGGTTGTTAGGCTCGACGTAGCGTTGTGCTAGCTGGATGCACACATCCTCCAGTCGGCGCTTGATACCCGTGATTTCAACCTGAGGATGGAATTTATGGAGAAGTTTAGCTGAAGAAATGAAGAATGAAAAAAAAAAAAACCATAAACAACCGCAATCATCCCACCTGCCTCTCCTGGAAGTGCAGGTTAAGGGTGTTCAGCATGACAAGCACGTCTGCCATGAAGAAGAGCATAAACAAGAACTTGAAAGAGCTTCCTGTTTCGAGAAGGCTGTGATCCTCCTCGTTCCACAGCCACAGAAGAGCGGGCAGCACGTCGCAAAACCTGTTGATGGCTTCTCCTCGGGATAGCCACCGCACGTTGTACATTCCTTGTACCTCAAGCTGGGTGCGGAGAATCTCCTGCTGCAAGCGGAGGAAATTCTGGCGCCTTACATGAGACCTTCCCAGAATTTCAGCAGTGCTCCTAACTTGTGTGTCGATCGGGTTGAAGTCAGGCATCCGGGATGCTGCATCCTTAGCAGCTAGTGCCTCCCTGTGAAGTGTAGAAAACAATGTAATGAGACATTAAATGAGGCTTCCAATGACTTTCAAATACATATAGGTTGTAAGTGGAAAGGCTATTTAAGTGCTCCTATTTCCAGCAAGTATAGTATTAGCTTTCGGTCACCTGTGGGCGATGCAATGTGTTGAAACAAGCCATGGGCAGGTCTGTCGCAAGCGTGCCACCAGCCCCGCCTGCTGTCCGGTCATCACCGAAGCCCCGTCGGTGGAGATCCCAACCAGCTTGTCTAGCGGGATGCTGCATGACTCCAAGAAGGATGTGAGAGCCGTGAGGAGGGACTCGGCATCTGCCCTCTCCACTGACAGCAAAGCGAGAAACTGTGTGACAACCTGTCGGTCCCTCTCATACGACATGTAAACAATCATGTGTTTACCGTGCGCACGGTCCGTGGATTCATCAAGAGAAAGCCCATACCATGGACTCTCCCTGATGTAGCGCAATTGCTTGTCCTGAAGATGCTGTGCCAACGCTGTTGTGAACTCATTCATGGCATACCTGCCATGTACACATTAGATGCAAGAGGTGTAAACCTGCATGTTAAGTTTACGATAAAAAAATGGCACAACAAACAAGGACATGCTTCACTCATTACATTAGCAAAACAACACAAGGGTGCAACAAAAAGTAGCAACTCACTGGGAAAAGTAGCGGCCGTAGGATTCTGAGCCAGCCATGTCAGGAATGCCCTCGTCCACCAAGAAGCGGACAAGAGTTGGATACAGCAGGATCGGTGCATCATTGCGGCACACAAAGTAAGCGGCATGGATACAACGAACAACGTGTCGTTTCACAGCGTCGGAGTCCGCGTACTGAGTCATGCGTCTCTGATTTCGCTCCGTGCCATCTGCCGTGTTCTTCCGTGAAACAGCCAACTGATGACCACGTGAACGCTGGTGGGAGCGGATGCTAGTCTTCTGGAAGTCCCGAGCGCCGATACCATTCCTGCCATACCGTGTGTGCCCCCCGTCGTCACCATGCTCCAAGCAAATGGTGCATTTCAAGCCATACTGGTGCGAAGGTTTGTGGTACTCGAGGCGCAGCCACTCAAAGTGGTCTCGCCATTCACGGCGGTAACGGCGGGCAATGAGTCTCTCTGCTGCGGGAATGGGGTCGCCCTGGTTATCAACGGGAGCATCATCCTCCGTGGGCTCAGGGACAGTGGTGCGGCGGCGCCTAGGCTCAGGAGGAGGTGCGAATGGAAGGATGGTCTGACGAGACCTTCTTCTAGAACCAACCTGGGAAACAGCGGCTTCATCCTCACTAGCAGATTCTGGCTCAAGAACGCCCTCCGTGAGGTTGAGAGGTTCAGTTGCTTCATCATCATCAGACATAACCTCTACTGTTGGCTCAGCTGAGGGCTCTTCACTGCCTATGTCCTTGGGGTCATCACCGACAAACTGCAAGGGGACAACGACGGGGTCTGCTGCAGGGGTGGTGTTGTCAGCCATGGGAGGCTGCCTTCTCTCTACAGTTAGCTAACTTGAGACTTTGCTGTGCCTTTTCAAGCTGAAAGCCACCTTGCCCATGCCTCGGTTAGAGTGCACATAGCCTAACAAACCACTTCTCGCGTTGAGGCACCGTGCGGGAAAGGGTGTTGAAAGAGCGGTGAGGGCAATGCGCGCTCTCATGTTTGAGCAGGGAGCAACGCAAAGTTGGCTGGCATCGTGGCGAAATATGGTCACGTCACGATCAAATGCAACGGTGCATCGCGCTGCGTCAAATTACCGTTATGGCTTGTCATGAACGTGACTGAGCAGAATTCGCCAAAGTGTGTGTATGTGTGTGTGATGCGACATACTAGAATTGCGTTGCGTTGCGACAAACCGCAGCAGGGAGGGATGGAGGGAAGGATGAATTACAGAATTCGCCAAGTGTGCTTTCGCGCGTCAGATTTGTGGCAGAGCAGCGGAGTTTGAGAGGGCACAGCATGAGAGTGCGCGCCACATTCTGTCATGTAGTTGTGCAGCTTGTTAGTGGCAGTCTGTGATTGGTCTGACTGCCTTGAACTTTGCGCCTTCCACGAGTCACGTGTGTCTGTCTGACTGCCAAGATTGCGTTGCGTTGCGTTGCGTGGCACTGAAGCGTGAGAATTCGGCCAAGGGCGCGAAAGATGGGGCCGGGGCGGGGCGGGGGGGGGGGGGGGGGGGGGGGGGGTGGTCAACTGCTCCAATTCCGGCACGGGTGATTTTCCAGACTACTCGGATGGCCAGGAGAAATTTTCGCGGAACGCGGATGGCTCAGGTGGACTCCCAAAATCGTCCGGAATCATTCAGGAGGATTTCCAGACCGAAACCCTCAAAATCCGGATTCCAGGTGAAAACATCCGGAATGTACCTGACATTCCGGATGTTTACCCTTGAACCGAGAGCCCTGCTGTGTACAGCTTGGTCTAGTTCCTGTAGCCTCTCACTTGCTAGGACCTTGACTTTGTACTGTCCTTTATACGTATACTCAGACTGGACTTGTGTCCTCTCGCAGTGGCTGGACTAGTAGTGCCGCCCTGCCCTTGTTCTTGCCTTGTTTGTACTCCTTCTGACTGGTCTCTCAGACCCTTGTCTCAGAGGTTGGACTAGTAGTGCCGCCCTGAGCTGTTTGTTTAGGGCATTCCCCTATGCAGTCTAGGGGGTGTGTCAAACATGTGTATTTGTCATGTTTGTATAGACTGTATAGGGTCGCCTCTTAGAGAGTACAACACTTAGGTATATCTTTGTGTACTCTCACTCTATCTATCATTCAATTTTCAAGTTAGATACTTATGTGTGTTGGCACGCCTGTGCAAGTATGTGTGAGTGCACCCGAATGAGTGCCGCTCGAATGTTCGGGGGAACCTCCTTTCCAGCCTGTATGACGATGCACGTCGAGGACGTCAGGCGTCCTCGTGCAGGGCCTCCTTGAACAACGCTGCAGCTCCTTCCTGCACATACCCAAACCGGCTCGACTGCCCTGGAGCCAGTACACTGCCTCCTTCCAGAACTTGGTAGTAATTGCCAGCTCGTACGAGTCCCCAAGCACTGCAAGACCAAGATACAAGAGGCAGCTGCTTGATTCAAGTGACGATGCATGCACGAGAGTGACGACCTGTGTAGCAGGGTTGTGGTGGGTGCAGGGCCTGGTGGCAGTGGTGCTTCAGTGGTGCGTGAGTGCACGTACCTTGTAGGGTGGAAGCCGTGTGCTGTGAGGCGGATGTGAGAGAGCAGTGTGTGCCCCTGGTTGCGCAGCAGCACCATGTACTGTGCCATGCTGCGGCCCTGCACGTCCTGCCACTGCGCTGTCACCAGAGTGGCCACCGATAGCTGTGGCAGGGACAATCCACTGCCGTCTGCTGCTGTGATGCTCAAGCCCACAGCCTGCTGCGCCCTCACTGTCCCACCACTTTGAACATTGCTTCTGCCTGGGCTCCAGCCTATGTTGTCACGCACTGTGGTGCGCAGGGCGCTGTCTGTGCTGCCGTCCGCACCGGGCACTGAAGCAATGAAGGACGTGGATGGACCACGTGTGCCTGCAGCAAGCACAGAGGGAGGCAGGCAGGCGAACCACATTGCAACATGCACATCGGGCCATGTAGAGATGCCTGTCAAGAGCTGCGTATAGCATGGGCAGAAGTGCATGCGTACTGCACCTCCGGTACATACACAGAAGTGCGGGTATAGCAGTAAGCTGTGACATCCTGGTTTGTGCATGCTGCTTTCCGAGATGCATGGCCAGTATGGTATCTGCTTTGCAATGTATGGCGTGTCTTGGGATCTGCTTTGTGCACTCACCTCTAGATTTTGCTCTCTCGGATCCCCCTTGTCCAGACTTGTTGCTGCCGGATTTGCTGCTGCCCGACTTATCGCTTCTCGACTTACTGCTGCCTGATTTGGTGCTGCCCGTATCTTTGCCGCCCAACTTATTGCTGCCCGAATTGCTGCCGCTCGAATTATTGCTGCCTGAATTTCTGCCGCCAGAGCTATTGCTGTCCGAATTACTGCCGCCTGACTTATTGCCGCTTGAATTATTGCCGCTTGACTTGCTACCGTTTCTATACTTCATGTCCCCGCTGCCCTCGCCTCCCTTCTTTCCATTCCCACCAGTGCTCTTCCCATCCCCGCTCTTCTCGTCACCCCCTTTTCCCCCCTTATTGCCCGTCCTGCTGCCACTGTCAGAACCCCCTATCTCTCCGCCTTTCTTGCCGCTGCCCCCATCGCCTGTCCCCTTGCCCCCTCCCTTGCCCTTGGCCCCCCCCGAGCTGCCCCTTCCTGGCTGCTTGCTGGGCGGCAGGGGGGCATCAGCAGCGAGGAGGCGGGCGAGTGCGCCAACGAGGGGGCTGTTGATGTAAGTGGAGACCTCGCTCTGCTGGTAGTTGTCGCGAACGTCCTTATACGCGTCCATGTTGTCCGGTCCGCCCACCACCGCGCCCACCAGCACATTCGCGTTCGGCGCCTGTCAACCAGGAGACCGAGCGGAGGGCGGGCGGAGAGGGCAGCCGGTGATGCAGGGAGGGTGGTGAGGCGGCAGGCATGATAAGGGGGGTGGGGATGTAGGAGAGACACAACGTATTGGGGAGGGGAAGAGGTGGAGGGTGGCAGGATCATCCTGTGGCGGGCTGACTTGCGTGGTGCGGCGCGCTGACCTGCGCGTGTCACCACTGACCTGCGTGTGGCACCACTGACCTGCGTGTGGCACCACTGACCTGCGTGTGGCTCCACTGGCCTACGTGTGGCACCACTGACCTGCGTGTGGAACCACTTGAAGCCGTCCTCGCATCCCACGGGGCGCGGGTCCTTCTTCACCGACACGATGGACGCGCCCCGGTGGTGCACGCGCACGGGGAACGACGCGCCGTAACCCACCATGTAGCTCATGCGCCGTGGGTTTTCGCCCAGCACGTACCGCATCTGCGCGCGGGGCAGCGGTGGGGGGGAAGGGACACGAGTGAGGCAGCGAGCGCAGGTATCTCTCTCTCTGACTTGCCCTTTTTGCTTTATCTCTTTCACTGCCTCGCATGTCTACCACCCCCCCCCCTCCCCCCCCTTCCCCTTCTCCCGCTTCCCTTCCTCCCCTGACCTCCGAACCTCGAAACCCCCGAGCCCAGCGCGAGCAGCACCTGTTTGGCGACGAAGGCGCGCATGGCGGCGGGGGTGACGGCGGTCGCGTCGCAGCGCACGGAGGGCACGGCGGCGCGGTCGAGGTAGTCGCTGTACACGGCGAGCAGCAGCGACACCGCCGTCACGTACTGCAGGTTGCTCCACGGCTGCACGAACAGCAGCCCGCCTGCACGTCGGGGGAGAGGCGGCACACAGCGAGATTTGGGGGGGGGTGGGGAAGGGGAGAGGGGGAGGCGTGGAAGCGCGTCAGTGAGGACGTTAGCACTTGGCGCGCGTGAGGCATTCCGCGCAAATCTGCTCAGTCGTTAAAGAGGGATAATCCATCTTGGCTTTGGGAAAATAGCACTAGGGTCGCTGGTGGAAAGGGCTACTGGCATGTAACTGGGGGTTGTCGGTGCGGCGCTGACCCACCAATGCAACACGCCCCTTTAACACAGTGGTGACGGTTGTGCTTGCCTTCACGAGCCACGCCTACAAGCATGCTGCGCCTGGCTCGCGCTGTGCATTGCCGCCTTTGCTGCCCGTCAAGCAGCGATAATCCGATTATAAAAAGTGTTGGTCCGTATACAATTTTGTACAGTTTCTGCTACTTACCATTTAGTAAGTCGCAGAACCTGTATGAACGATGTACGAGGCCCTCGAAGGCCCTCAAAAATTTGCAGAGTCCGCAAGGTGTGGGCGGCAGTGCGACGAGCTGGCAGCGGCCAAATGCCTTGGGCGAGGGGACGGGGCAGAGCGTGCTGCGGGCAGAGGCAGAGCTCATGGGGGCGCGAGAGAGCAGGCAGCAGCGCATGCGGTGCCGCCCTGTGGGTGCGGCATTGGACGCGCGGCTCACCTGGCGTCCTGGTGCCGCGCACGACTGTGTTGCACACGAAGTCATTTGCGCGCAGCTGATAGCCCTGCAGCCCCGGGTCGCGCGACTTCATGAACACCTGCGCGCCACCACCGCAAGGGCACAAAACGAGGGCGGCGACGCAGCGGACAAGTGGAACAAGCGGAAGGGGATGAGTCAACACGGCCGCACGGCGGGGGTGAAGGGAGGCACGAAAAGCGACGTTGCGGGCGGGGCATGGTGCGCGGACTCGACGTGTCCACGGTACGGCTATGGGCGACGCGCGCGAGCGGTACCTTGGCGAGCAGAATCTGCGCGCCAGCGAACTTGTTGTCCCAGGAGAAAGCGTTCATGCTGCTGGTGGCGCCCTGCAGCGTCTCGTTGTTCTTCTTCACGAACGCCAAGTACTGCCCCTCGCCTGTCGCGCGATGCAGCCACGCCGCCGCCCACAGCAGCTCGTCCTGGGGCAAGGAAAAAGAGGGGAGGGGGAGGCAGCGGCGCGTGCGATCGGAAAAATGCAGGTAGCGCGAGAGTTGCGAAAGAAAAGGAGCCCAAAGACATGACGCCCGACGGGGTGGCGAGACGCGTGAGGGGTATTGGCAGGGTGGGGCTGCTCACGTTGAATCCAGAGTAGGAGTTGTAGAAGGCGGCGGCGGACGGAATGCTGCTCACGTACGACTTGCGGTACGTGCTCGCGAAGGTAAACAGCTGCCGAGTCGCACGGGCGTAAGGGAGAGTGCGTCGCATGAAAGACGGGGAGATATGGTGGGGAGACATGAAGGGGAATGAATAGGCGAGTATCCAAGTCACAAATGACCTAAGCGGCCGCGCACTGCAGTCCCACGGCCTACCTCTGCCAAGAAGCGACGCATACGCAGCTCACAGCAACGGGCCCACTCAAACAGCCTCCACCTCACTGCCCTCCTCAAGTCTCTAACTCCACGTCTCGTCACACTCCCTCCTCTCTTCTCCCTACCCGCCCCTCCGCCCCGCCCACCTCCTTAGCGTGCCGAATCAGCTCCGTCGAGTACGCCTCGTCGCGCGACGCGAAGGCCACGCTGGCGGCGGCGAGGCCGGCGGCGGCTTCAGCGGCGACTTCGGTGCCGGGATTCTTGGCGTCCAGGCGGAAAGCCATGCGCGGCGTCGTCATGTCCTCAGGTCGCTGCCAGCACCGGTGGTCCGACGGCCCGTCGCCCACCTGCCGTTCGCCGCCGGACAGCAAGGAGAGAGGGTTGGGGGGGGGGAGGGAGGGGACAGTGCGGGTGTGAAGCACCCGCCGCTCACCATACTGGCAGGCACAGAATGGGAGCTTTGCGGGGGCGAGTGGCGATGGTCAGTGCGTGGTGACCACAGGTGTTACAGCGGGCATAGCATGACACGGCTTTTAGCATGGCTTCTGTGAAACAGCGCGCGGCGCCCCAGGGCTTGCGGGCATGTGGAGTGCGCGGCGGTACCTGCGCGTACAGCACGTTGGGCTGCGGGTGCGCTTTGATGAAGAAGTCGGTGCCCCAGCGGATGGCGTCCAGCGCGTGCGTGAGCTGCCCCTGCGCTGCGATCGTGGCGCCGTACTCAACGACGCCCCACGCTAACGTGGTGATGGTGAACGCCATGGGCAGCCCGTACTTGACGTTGTCGCCGCTGTCGTAGTACCCCTTCGTCAGGTCCACCTGCCGCCATGCACGCAACGCAGCGAGGCCATCCCCAAATGGCATGCGGGGAGAAAGCGCTCATTAGTGACGGCGCTACCCTGCTATGGGGAACCTCGCCCTTGGCTACGCGCCATGCGTCACTCTATGCCTTAGAGAAATAGCTTCCTGAGAAAAATGCGAGGAACTTCAAAATGACCAAGAACTGGCAGCCGCACGCCCCAGGAAAAGAATGGGAGTTTATAGTCACACTGGAATGCCAGATAAGACCATTCCGCTTCACGCATCGTCTAACTGACCCCGACGTCCTTCCCGTCTTTGAGTCCTGAATCCCCCCGCCATTTGGCTCTCTGATTTGCGGGAAGCTTGCCCGACCGCTGCTGCTCAAAGAACAATATGCTCTTCCGCAGGGCGTCCTCGAAATCAACCGACTTGCCGAGTTCCAGAAAGTTGAGAAGGATCAATGATGTTATCAGTAACCCGAACCCCGCTCGAACAGGTGCTCGCTGACGCATCGTGATCCAAGAAGAGCTAACCAGGACGGCTAGTGTGACTGGCGCTCTTACGATATGCAACCTACGTCTCACCGAAACTGTGACTATGGGGTATCAGCGAGGCGACAGGTGAGCTCATGACAGCAGTGCTTCAGAATTGAGTACATTCAGTTCTCCGTGGGACGAGCATCAGCGTTTTTGCCAAAAGCAGGTAGGGGCGAAATGGCTGATGGCATTTGAATGAACAGGCGAAGAACAAGGGTACAAGGAGCGAGCACGCAAGACTCCGCGGCTCGCTGGCATTGAGCATTCGAATTGGGGGCCAAACACATTGGCAGCAACCAGGAGTACAGTTGTTGCATCTTGCTCACCTAACTCCGCACCGCGTGGACTGCAGTATCACCATTCACTCCACGACATCTGGACCATATTTTCTCGAGACGAGCCAAGCACGAACCAGGTTATCCCGTTCGGTCCAGCTTCGTACTCTATTGAGGGACCACGTCAGCAGCCATCTGGTTGGCCCACTCTTGTTCCGTGCCTCAGTTTTGGCGCAAGCCGTGGCACGGCAGTCGTCCACCAGTGTTCGCCACAAACATGCTGCTGGCTTCGTGTGACAGGCGAGGTGGTGTGGTGGACCAGGGTATGTTAGAGGAGTGTTCCTGGCGGTACTGGCATTAGTGGGTGGTTTCGGACGAACCCTTGTTCAACACCCAGGTGCATCCCTCCGCCCCCTCCCTGAAATCACAGATGTATAGCATTATTATTCGCCTGCCAGAAAATGGTTGGAAAACCTTTTGTTTCGTTCCAAATCCTCGTTCGTGACCTAAGAATTAAAAGTATCTAGAAAATTACACCTGGAATCCCTAGAATTCGGGGCCGTGGACGTCTAAGCACCCCAGAACCCAAACATGTCAGCAGCATGTCACAAGCATGCCTATACCCCTTGGGCTCGGAAGGAAATCGTTGGGTCAAACTCCACCCCTGGTTGATGGCTTGGCCCGACCTTGTGATCAACCGGACCCTGGTGAGGCCGCTTTGGTGCGGGTGAACGTGCTGAAAGCCCTCAGATTGTGTGGTGTGCGCCTCGGACCCCTTATGCAGCTGAGGCGCTTGACGGTCACAAGACATTCCACAAAATACTTGATTGGTTATGACAATCCTAAAAAAGGCTAGTTAGATATTCTAGAAAACAGAAGTTCAACGTTGAAATACCATATTCATCCGATTAATGAGCCCCTCAAAATCATCACACTGGATATAGTTCATGGACAAGGGCCTTATCCAAACCACTGCACATTACAAGACCCTAGTTTGGGGCCTTGGCAGGATAAGACCAGGGTTCCTGTTAGCAGACGAAATCCGCCTGTTCATCTGAGAATCAGACTCATTTTTCCCGTGTCATCTGAATTTCCAGATAGCGCGTATATTTTCGTCTGAGAGTGTGTTCCTACGCGGCTCTGATTAGATTCACAATTTGAGCTGGACGGCGAAGTGGGTGCAAAAATATTTTCGTAAAAAATGAGTCTCATTGGTCGTGAACAGGCCTGACGTTTCAAAAAACCCCCCCCTGAGCTGTCGACTAAAAAAAAACTTTACCCTGAGGGCTCAGTGTTCAAAATTTGCCTACCCTGATTTGTAAGTGTTCAGAAATCAAGAACCCTGAAAATCCCAGGGTTCACCGAACGCATTCAGGGCAGGGCTGACGTTTCAAAAAAACTCCCCCTGAGCTGTCGAATAAAAAAAAACGTTTACCCTGAGGGCTCAGGTTTCAAAAATTGCCTACCCTGATTTGTAAGGGTTCAGAAATCTGGAACCCTGAGAATCCCAGGGTTCACCGAGCGCGTTCAGGGTTGCCTTCAACACGAGGGGGGAATTAAAAATGGGGGGAAAAAGGGGAGGGAATCAAACCGAGGGGAGGGGGAGAGCGAAACGGAGGGGAAGGGGGAGGATGGAAACATAGGGGAAGAGAGGAAGCGAAACGGGGAGGGAAAAAGTGGGGGTTGGGGGGTGGGGGAAGTTCGAAATACAGTCGAGGAATGGGAGAAGCGAAACGGAGGGGAAGGGGGGATCGAAACGGAGGGGAAGGGGGGATCGAAACGGAGGGGAAGGGGTGATCAAAACGGAGGGGAAGGGGGATCGAAACGGAGGGGAAGGGGGATCGAAACGGAGGGGAAGGGGGGATCGAAACGGAGGGGAAGGGGGGATCGAAACGGAGGGGAAGGGGGGATCGAAACGGAGGGGAAGGGGGGATCGAAACGGAGGGGAAGGGGGGATCGAAACGGAGGGGAAGGGGGGATCGACGGAGGGGAGGGGGAGTCGAAACCAAGGAAGAAAGGGGGAGGGAATCAAAACCAAGATGCGAGGGGCGAAACGGAGGGGAGATGGGGGAATCGAAATGGAGGGGAGGGGGGAAACGAAACGGAGGGGGAGTGGGGGGAGCGAAAATGGAGGGGAGGGAGGAATCGAAGTGGATTGGAGGGGGGAAGCTGGGTAATAGGGCGGTCGGAGAAAATTCGCGCCCTAGCAGCGCCCCGGCTGGGAGATCTTGGACGTTGATCAATGTGACCATCTAACGGTTGAAGTATGTCGAAACGATCGCAATCGATCTTGACCGTTACATTTTCATAGACTTAGCTAATTTTTGTGGGTTGTTGTTAGTGTGTAGGGGGGATGTCTGTACGACACATGACTTAGCCGATTTTTGTGGGTTACTTGGTGTGTGAGGGAATGTTTGAGGACTTCACCAATTTTTGTAGGTTGTTGCGTGTGGGTGGGGGGGAATGTCTCTGGAGATTGGGGACTTCGCCTAAATTTCCGCATTGTGAGCCACATGGATGTCGCACTCAGGGTTCGTACGCGTTACTCCCTGAAAACTCAGTGTTGGGATAACGCAAACCCTGAAATTCTCAGTGTTCACAGACATACAACGCTGAAGAGGTTAGGGTTCAAAAAAGCCCAACCCTGAAAATTAAGGGTTGGCCAAAAAAATACCCTGTGAAATCAGGGAATCAGGGTAAAATACCCTGATAACGACAGGCCTGATTCAGGGTTGCCTTCAACACGAGGGGGGAATAAAAAATGGGGGGAAAAAGGGGAGGGAATCAAACCGAGGGGAGGGGAAGAGCGAAACGGAGGGGAAGGGGGAGGATGGAAACATATGGGAAGAGAGAAAGCGAAACGGGGAGGGAAAAAGTGGGGGAGGGGGGGGGGAGGTTTCGAAATACAGTAGAGAGGAATGGGAGAAGCGAAACGGAGGGGAAGGGGGAATCGAAACAGAGGGGAGAGGGGAAGCGAAACGGAGGGAGAGGTGGGGATCGAGGTGAATGGGGCAGTGGCAGAAACCTCCCGCGCTTGCAGCGACATGGGCAAATCGAGGACGTTAATCATACGCGATCATCTAACGGCTGAAATTTGTCGAAACGATCGCGATTGATCGTGGCCGTCAAAGTTTGATGGACTTTCAGTTGACCACACGGGCAATAAAAAAACTTTCCTTAAGAATGAAGCATTGTCGCTAGTACCCTTTAAATTTAAGGTTAGGTACATTGCCAGCTGCGAAACCTACGGTACCTTCTATGACTTGACCGTTAGCCTTGTTCATGGGTTGTGGGAGTGTGGGAGGGGGGATAACTTGTGTACAATAGGACTAAGCCGTTTTTTTTTTGTGCTGTTACTGCCTATCAAGACTTAGCTAATTTTTGTGGGTTGTTGTTAGGTGTGTAGGGGGGATGTCTGTACGACACATGATTTAGCCGATTTTTGTGGGTTGCTTGGTGTGTGAGGGAATGTTTGAGGACTTCACCAATTTTTGTAGGTTGTTGTGTGTGGGGGGGAATGTCTCTGGAGATTGGGGACTTCGCCTAAATTTCCGCATTGTGAGCCACATGGATGTCGCACCCAGGGTTCGTACGCGTTACTCCATGAAAACTCAGTTTTGGGATAACGCAAACCCTGAAATTCTAAGTGTTCACAGACATACAACCCTGAAGAGGATAGGGTTAAAAAAAGCCCAACCCTGAAAATTAAGGGTTGGCAAAAAAAGTACCCTGTGAAATCAAGGAATCAGGGTAAAATACCCTGATAACGACAGGCCTGGTCGTGAAGTCTTTCAATCATTTTCCTTCTGATATGGTATCATAGTAGGTTAGATCCCCCCCTAGCCCGCTCACGCTTCCGCCCCTACGTTCCTAGCCGACCCCCTAGCCGTCGCGCTGTCCCTAGCCGCCCCCCTGGCCGTTCGTGCCCGTCCATAGCCGGCCCCCTGACCGTTCACGCTCGTCCCTAGCCGCCCCCCTGGTCGTTCGCGCCTGTCCCTAGCCGGCCCCTGGCCGTCGCGCTCGTCCCTAGCCGGCCCCCTGGCCGTCGCGCCCGTCTCTAGCTGGCTCCCTGGCCGTCGCGCCCGCTCCTAGCCGGTCCCCTGACCGTCGCGATCGCTCCTCGCCGGCCCCCTGACCGTCGCTTCCTGCCGTCCCTCGGCCGCCCCTAGTCGTCCCGGCCGCCCCTCGCCGTCGTGGCCGCCCCTAGCCGCCGCCGCTGCCGTCTCCAGCCACCTCACGGTCGCTCCTGCCGTCGCGGCCGCCCCTCGCCGCCGTCGCGGCTGTCCCTGGCCGCCGTCGTGGCTGCCCCTGGCTGTCGTCGCGGCTGTCCCTGGCCGCCGTCGCGGCCGTGTCTACTTGCCGCCCGCCGGCCCGCCCCTGCATTTGTGCCGTCGCTGGCCCGCCACTGCCTCGGGTTCGGCCCGTTCTTCTCGATCAGCACCGCCCTCCGAAACCCCCCCGGTACCGTACTGCATCACTTTGCACCGCACTGCACCGCTTTGTACCGCACTGCACCACATTCCACCGCACTGTACCGCACTGCACCGCTTTGTACCGCACTGCACCGTACAATACAACACTGCAACGCACTACACCGCACTGCACAGCACTGCACCGCACTGTCCTACTCTACACTGCCCTCTATTGTCACTCATGGCGGCGGTGCTTTGCTTTGACGCTGAGGGCCAGCCGATTGAGTTTGATGCGTGGCTTGCTGACCTCCGTCGCCATCTCACTGGTCAGCAGCAGGATGGCCACTCGCTGTCTGTCCATCTTGATGGTACCCTCCCCTGCCCTGACCCCCCCGCTGCCCTGTCTCCTGCCCCCTCGTCCGCTGAGCGTGAGTCCGCTGCAGCCGCTGCCCTTTCTCGCTCTGTCT